GCATCTTCTTGCCACTAAGCTACCAGAGCTTGCCACATGCTGTGTTTTAACTACCCTGTTGTTATGTGCTGCCGAGTCCACTACAACGCACAGTGACCCTATGAACAATGGATCTGAACCCTGCCCTGTCCTGAGCCTACCTCACCATGTCTGACACACCTGACACCAAGGCCACAGTCTCTGTTAATCCATCTTATCCAAGGGCTTCCTCTTCTGCACTATAGAGTCTCATTTAATATTGAAGATACTTCAAGTAGCTTCACTTTTATAGCTGAGGAAATGGAGATCATGTTTTGTACACTTGATCTTAGCCAAAAGGCCGAGAAGCGATGGAGATCATGTTTTGTAAAGTGCACACACCACAAAGCTAAAAAAGAAGTACAAGGATTCAAATACAAGGTCTCAAATACACTGGCTATTAGCTTGGTATTAAAAAATAAGTAATAGAATATTGAATATACCATGGACTACCAAAATAAAAAAAAACTTTCCTGGAAGAAGTGTAACCATCTATGCCCCTGACTAGCTGTGCTGTTGTTGTTGCTAAGTGCCAACAAGTTAATCACAACTCATAAACTCAAAGCAACCTTATGAACAACAGATCTGAACCTGGCCCTGATCCTCACCATCTCAGATGTTTAAATCCATCGTTAATCACTGTGCCAATCCATCTTGGTGAGGCTTCCTTTCTCTGACAATCCACCTTTCCTAGTAATGTTGTCCTTTTCTAATAACTGGCCTCTCCTTACAACATGTCTAAAGTATGTAAGATGAAGCTTCCATACCTTTCTTCTACAGAGCAACATGACTACTTCCTCCAAGACAAACTGATGAAACTTTCTCTCACATACTGTGGGCATGTAATCAGGAGGGGCTAGTCCCTAAAAAGGATATCATGCTTGAAAAAGTAGAATGTCAACAAAAGTAAAAACAATGTTCAACAAAACGGATTCATACAGTGACTAAAACAATGGGCTTATGCACAGAAGAGACTGTGAAGATGGCACAGGTTCAGGCTTATGCACAGAAGAGACTGTGAAGATGGCACAGGTTCAGGCAGTTATCTTGACTATTGTCTATGGTGTTGTTGTATGTCAGTCCCTTGTAACATCAGATAAAATTCAAAAGATGAGGTATTGAGTAATATTACAGTAAGCATTCAAATTAATGTTAAAGAAAGAAAACCAAAGAACTTAAACACTCTATTAAGCTATATTCAAAAAGATATTAAAGAAGAGTAATTGGGTGATTGAGTGTTTTGTTTATTTTTAAATCAAGAATTGGAGATAAGTACTAAGGTTTAATAATTCTAATAACGTCAGAAGGCCAAGAAGAAGATAAGGAGTAGCCTCATCTCTGTTACAATTGCTAATGGACTGACACAGTGACTACAAAAATGAGTTTAAACATATCAAAAATCGTGAAGATAGGACAGGATAGGGCAAGGTATAGATCTTTTGCTCACAGGGTCACTATGAGTGCTAGTCACCACCTTAATGCACATAATCACAACAGCTCAGAGAGTGCTTGCAGCATAGTGGGGAAGGCAGGCAACTCAAATACACCAGCTGCTCCATGGGAGTGAGTAAGAGGGGCAAACTCCTCCAGTGCGATTTACAACCTCTGGAAGCCCATTAGCAATACTATGGATGGGGAAAATGTTTAGGTTTTCCACGTCTCCTATGTCAAGAAATACTTCTGGGTTCAAATCCACCAGATGCTCTGATGGAGAAGGAGGGGCAATCTCCTCCTATACTAGTCAGATCCGATTTGACAGTACACACACCAAAAAAAACACAACCCACCACACCCTAGTATATTGGAAAAAAAAAAAAAAAAGGAAATACTTCTATAAACTCTGTCACTGAGTTAATTCTAACTCAGAGTGACCCTCCATTGGATTTCAAAGTCTGTAAATCTTAATGGGAGGAGACAGCTTATCTTTCTTGTAAGCAGCTGCTGGTGGACTTACACAGCTGAAAATGAAGATACTCAGCCTTTTGATTAGTGACTGCACCATCAGAACTCCACAAACTATTTCACTGCCCCTAGATATACCTACAGGACACTATCTGTAGAGATCAAGTATCCATATAATGCAAAAAGTTGAGATATCACTATACAGTATCAGGTGCATATGCTTTCATTGTATTAAGCTGGAACCAACTCTGCTGAGTCTCGACTGAGTTTCCAAGGCTGTAAATTGCACAATACCCATTTTTCTCCTGTGGAGAGAGGCCCTTGTGGATTCAAACCACCAGAGGCTTTGGGTTAGCAGTTCTGTAATTTGTATTTAGTTTCAAAATACAGTGTTTCTTTATTAGATCATTTCTTGGCAATCCAAGAGGCAGAATAAAAATCCCACAAGTTAAAAAATAATGGGTATATTATCTATGTGCAAATAATTTAAAGGGGGGGGAAGGAGTAAACGAACCAAATCTAGAATTTCTCAAGGATCCATATATTTTCTGATTTCAAAATCAGATCCGTTTGGTAACTGGCTTAAACTAGATACAGTCATCTAATACCAAAAAGGACAATTTTTTCTTTTTCCATTTCCACGGCACATTAGGTTACCTCTGAAAATTTTGTACTAGAAATTGCAATACTGTGGTAACTGGGCACCTTCAAAGTGCTAGATTTTAACTTCCAGTTGTTATGTGCCATTGAGGTGGAATCAATTCATAGCTGATCATCAGTGGGTTTTCAAAGGTTGTAAATTGCACAGAAGGAAAATGCCCATTGTTCCCAGGGAAGCAGCTGATGGATTTGCACAGCATGGATTTGGGTTGGCAGCACAGCTCCTTGGCACACAGCCCCGTGTCCCCTAACTTCCATTAGGATAGAACTTTTCTTTTTGCTATCACTATGGGAGATAAAGGGCCAACGAAAAGAAAGGAAGGCTCTCAACAAGATATGTTGACACAGTGACTGCAACAAGGGATTTGATATGCAGTGATTGTAAGGACGGCACAGGTTCAGGCACGTTTTCAATCCACTGTACACAGGGTCTAGGTCAGAGTCAACTGGATGTCACCCTAATACCAGCAACAACAGTCCTTGTATCAGTACTTACCAAATAAAGGCGAGATCAGTGAATTAATGAATGGTAACCTGACACACAGATTTTTGCAAAAGAGTTAATAAAGAATGATTTTAAAACCAACCCAAAAAAGCCACTATCCTAACTCAACAGAAAACTCTTAAAGGAGTTTTTATTAGGTCAAACCTCTGGAATTACCGATATTCAACTATTTCATCCTGCAAAATAAATGGTAATTATCTATCTTTCAACCCAATTCATTACTATTATGCACATCACAGTTTAAAATAGGAGCTTATTAAAAAAATAAGGTAAAATGACTAATCAAGTACTACTTAATAAGAGCTTATCCACCATAACATACCACATTTCAACAGAATCTGTAGGGCTTTTTCCTCTCCATGTAACTGAGTATTCCAATAAAACCAAAAGCAAATCCACGTTATTGAGTCAGTTCCCAATCATGGAGGCCCTCCATTTGTTTTGAGGCTGCAAATCTTACTTTGCGCAAAGTCTTCATCTTTTTTCCCAAGAAGCAAATAATGACGTTGAAACCCTAACTGTTCAAGAGCAGTGCAATATATAATGTACTTTGTCACCAGGGTTCTTTGTTGTCCATGTTGTTTTAAAAGCAAACTTACTAAGGTGTTAATGTTGTTGCTGTTAGGTGCCACAGAACTGACAACTCACAGTGAACCTATGAACAACACACCTTGTCCTGTCCTGTACCTTTTTGCGATCTCTGTCACACTCAAGCCTATTGTTAAAACAACTGAGTTAATCCATCTTGTTGGGGGAATTCCTCTCTTTCACCAGTCCACTACCTTTCCCAGCATGATGTCTGTCTCCAAGATCTAGCCCCTTCTGACAACATGTCTAAAGTATGTGAGATGAAGTTTTACTCTCCTTGCCTTCTAAGCAGCCCTCTGGATGCACTTCCTCCAAGAGAGATTTGTCGGCTCTCTGGGCAGCCCAAATCCTATTCAATATTCTCTGTCCACACTACAATCAAAAGCTTAGAATCTTATTTGGTCTTCTTGCTCACTGTTGAATCTCCTGAGGTCTCTCAACAATAATGCCTAACTATTGTTGAGAATGTGTCTATCTCAGACGAAGACATACTATAAATATTTCATTCTCTTGACAAGTACTTCTTGAGCACCTACTTTTTATTAGACATTACATGTTTAGGACACCGAAGTGAAAAAGAAGACAATTAGGAACGCGGAATAACAAAAAACTGCAGGAAAAGCATTCTACAGTACTTATTATGATAACCTTGTAAGAATTCCCATACCCATTGTCCTACCTGCTATGTTATAGCATTTCCATGTATTTTAAAATTTATAAAAAATAAGTTGCCTCTAAAAGAGTCCTCCAAACAAAAATACCTTGAAAGGAGCACTGTCAATGCAATTCCTATTTCATAGCTCAAATGCCTATAAACGAAAAATGTTGAGAATTCTGTGATCATTTATTATGAGGTGTGTACTGTAAGAGCATCATCTCAAAACAAAAGAATGAAATACTTTTTCATTCTTTGTATGTTACTCATAAATTTGCTTTTTGGTGAGTTTATGTCACTGGGGAAAAAAGTTATCAGTTGCTTTTTACCCCAGAACAAACATGAAAATATTTTCCTCTGTAATATGCAAATTTCATAGGGCTCAGTACTTCTGCTTATTTACAATCCACCTGAATCCTTCTAAATTAGGCGTAGAGAGTAGGGTACACGAGCTTAATCAAGAGAGCACGCTCATTCAATTATAAAGGCTTGCTTTTCCATGATTATCAGGGGATTAACCACAATCTGAAAAATAATACTGAAACTGTTGTTGTCATTGCTGGCTGGCTACCCTCTCCTTTGTCTTAAAGCGAATGCTCAGAATTAAATGGGCAAAGAGACTAGTGGAAAGTGAGAAGAACCAGGACAAAGCAAATCTGGAGTCATGGTTACCGCATAAAGATAAACCAATGCCTTCTTTCCCTTTACGTGGATTCCATAAATAAGCCACTAAATCTTTCATTTAATCAATGTCTTAGCTACAAAGCTGGCCAGTAACACTTCCTTTAGGAAATGCTCCGGGCATCCTCCAGAAGACAAAGCTGTAGAAATAGAAGATGGGTTACCGAGGGAAACTGGCCAAGAAAAGGGAAAGGGGCTGGAGACACGCCCAGAGGCCCCTGCAAAGGCAGGCAGTAGGGATGGCAGGTACATTAATAGAAAGTCCAGTCTGCAACGAAAATACACTCTACCCTCAGTCTGTGGTTGCCAGAAAGGGGCTCAATAGTCCGGCAAAGATATGGTGGGACCTACAAGCGTGACCCAGAGACAAGATCAGGTTCCGGCTAAGGAACCGCAGATGAAGACTGTCTGCGAGTCATTAGCTCCAGCGCGTCCGGGGGCTTTTCTGTTTCCGATGCCCAAGGCTCGCCGCGACCGGTCTGGGTGGTAGCGGGGTTCGCGGTTCACCGGATGTGCCCTGGCGTCCCTGGTCCTGGTATCCAAGGCCCATAGCTGCGACCCGCCCTAGCCGCCCGGCCTCTATCCTTTCACCTCCTCACCTTCCAGTCCCTCCATTGCGCCACCGTCTCAGACTCAGCGCTACTCCGCGGCCAGCCCCACCGCCACCGCCTTCGCCGCCGCCGCCGCCGCCGCCGCCCAGCTCCAGCTGTAGCAACCCAGCCGCGCCTCCCACCCGCTAACATCCCGAGCTCCTATTGGCCCGGAGCTGGCGGGGGCGTGGCCGGAGGTGGGAGGGGGAGGCGGTGCCCGGTCTGCAGCCTCTACGCTGCAGCCTCCTTCTCCCCTTCTGCACCCTCATGCTTAAGGTTAGCGGTTTCATAGTGCATTTACCTTTGTTCACCTGACCTTATTTCCCCGACACCTTCTCTCCTTGTTCACAATATCTCAGCACCTCCTGTCTTGCTTATCACCAGTCTTTCGCATAAATCAATGCAATTCTGTCTTCATGCCTGTTCCTCTCAGCCAATTCTCATTAAACAAACACACCATCCAAACCAACACCCTGTATATGCCTGTGCACAGCATACTATATTCTGCGCTTTGTCTGAGTATATTCCCTCTACTTTATCTCATCATGCAGCTGCTTAATGTCTTCAGGCTTTATTTTTCCTATAAAAGACTTAACTTTTTATTTTAGGGTTGTTGAACTGAGATTGCTCAAACTGCTTGAAAACAACTTCCCTAACTTGACGCTTAAGGGGAGAAAAAAATGGAAATGAAACCTACTGTCCCCGCAGCTTCATCTACCCTGGCCTTAAACTTTATCGTTCTTGGACCAAAATAGTTCCCTGGACTGATAACTAGTGAGGTAACAGGAAAACTATGTCGATGGGGAATTCAAATATGGACAGCATGGAATGAGGCCTGTTTCTAACGGAATCAAATCCTTTGAGATCTTAGTTAACTCTAGTTGTAGCTAAAGCAATTTTAGTATTTTTCTTAGCAATCTTGACACATTCCACCAGAGCAAAATGTATTTGAAAATTTTCTTTACTAAACCACTTAGTCTGGTAGCCTAATGGCAAGAAGCTGAGCTGCAATCCCAAAGGCACACCGTTCAAATCCTCTAGCTGCTCCTCTGGAGGATGGGCAGTCTCCTCTTGTGCGATTAACTGGCGATAAACCTTCTGGAGAGTCTATAGCCTAAGATTCGGTTCTAACTCTGCAGCACCTAACTACAACAGTATATACAACTACAACTACAATATATACTAGCAACTTATCAGTATTCTAGATTTTCTAACAAATCTTGATTGGTGTTTTTGGGGTTTTTTGTTTGTTTGTTTTTTGTTAGCATAGGATGCAATAGTAGGCTGTTATAGTTAAGGAGAACCTGTGAACTGAGATTCTAAAACACTCACGAGCCCACAGGAGATCAATGAGGCAGCCTACTCTGTCCTATAGGAACACCATGAGTCAAATTAATCCATCAAGAAGCAGTAATTTTGTTTTCTGTTCAGACTATGCTGTCTTACAAACCGGCAGATAGTATAAAATAACATTATTTCTACTCTCCATTCGAATGAAAGTGTTTTTTCAAGCAAAAAACCCACAACAAGCACAGTGGGTCCCTCATTATTTATTAGGAAGGACTTTTTTGCATATAGGACGGCCTTTTTCTTTAATGCATTTCTATCAAGAAAAAGTTTAAGCATGCTTGACTTCACTCCTTTCCTGGTTCTGCCCAGTTCTGTTCTCTGATATCCTGGCTCTGAGTCAAAATCCACTCGACAGAGGGTGAGTGTTTGGTCAGACCACAGGCATGTGTGCCGTTTAGTTACCCTGACTGTGTGTTTGGGAAAATCCTTTTTCCTTCTGTGTTACTAAGACGAATTTAGAATTTTTTCTTTGTGAACTTTTTTAAAAAAGCAAAACACTAATGAGGTGGAGAAGAACGCCAAATGACGAAGAAAACACAAAAATAATTTAATTTGCAAATTACAAGTTCTTATACTGAAATCAAGTCAAAGATTAAATTGGCTAGAACACACTTTATTGTTTTGTGGGGAAAAAATCAGATCCCTGGCCAGCAGCATAGAACTGCTCTACAGGGTTTTCAAATGAGTTCCCTTCTCTGAGGGGATTAAATAGCTAACCTCTCAGGACGAACTGTTGTTGTTGTTGTTATTGTTGTTGTTGGCCCTCCAGTTGACTAAACTCAATTCCTGCCCTATCCTGAGCCCATCTCACCATCTCTGACATACCTGCCCCTCACTGTGTCAATCCATCAAATCCAGAGTTTTCCTCTCCTATATTGACCCGCTTCCCTTCCAATCATGTCTTTCTCTAAGGACTGGTCCTCTTGGCAACATGCCCAAATTATATGAGAAAGAGATTCAAAATTTTTGCCTATAAGAAGCAACCTGTTTTGAACCTCTCCAGGACAGACCTGTTTGTTTCTTAGAGGTATATTATAATATAAAAATATAACGTAATATTTGTATGGTCAATACTCTTCTTCACCACCACAACTCAAAGGCATTAATTTTTCTGTCATCTTTCATCATTGTTCAGCTCTCAGAAACATAGCAAGCAAATGAAAAGACTATGGCTCAGACACACTTTAGTCTCTAGACTGCTATCATTGCTCTTCAGAACTCTGTAAAGGTCCCTGAAAGTAAACTTTTCTGAAGCAACTCATCTTTTGATTTCTTGACTGTTAGTGCCAATAGTGTTGACTGTGGAACCAAGTAAGATGAAATTGTTAGCAACATCAGTCTATTTTCCATCTATCATGATGCTACCAGTTGATCCAGTGATGAGAATCTTTGTTTCCTTGATTTTTGAACTGCAATACATATTAAAGACTGCAGTCCTTGACCTTCTGCAGCAAATGCTTCAAGTCCTCTTCAGTTTCCGTGAGCAAGGTTGTGTCATCTACGTCTATCAAATTTTCTGTTGCACATATAGATTAAGAAACATCCTAATGTACTCTTTTCATGATTTTTGAACTATGCAATATTCCCTTCCTCTGTTCATATGACAACTTCCTGGTCTAAGTAGAGGTTTTGCATGAGCACTGTCAAGTGTTTTAAAAACCACAATAAACAACAGGAACAATAAGAACAATAATAATAAAAAGTAAAATGTTATACATTTTTAGGTTTCTTTCATACATTCACTTAATTTTAAAAAAGTCTACAGTGTAAATACTATTATCTTCCCTTTTTAGAGTTAAAAATCTTTGTTTTCCAGACATGTCAGAGAAAGTTTATATGTTTTCAAATAATTATACCACCGATGAATGGTAGAGCTACAATTTAAACTTTGGTCTGATCTGTTCACATTTTATCTCAAATTCACTCATTACTATCAAGTTGGAACCGACTCATAGCTAGCTGACTCTTCCATGGGTTTCCAAAGTGATAAATCCCACCTTATTGCTCAACTTTTTCCTGTGGATCCACTGGTAGATTCAAACTATCAGAAAGGTGTGGCCTTTGTGTTAGAAGGTAGCTTCCAGCTTCCTACACTACCAGAGCTTCCTGTTTGATCCTAAAGCCTATAAAAATTTCACAGAGCTCTTCAGTCCCCACCCTTGCCTTACAGTCTACCTGTTGCAGATGTAAAGTCACTTGTTCAGACATATGTAAGGCATGTTTAAGAAGTCATTACTATTGCCAATCTTGTGTCTCTAAAACCTACTCAGGAGTTTTTATGTCCCAACAATCTTGGCTCCAGATATTTTTCAGCAGGCCTGATTGAGCACATCTTCCTTTCTGACTCTTAAATATCTTCCTCTGCCTCCTAAAAGGCTGGCTTGAGAGTTTCTTTGGCATTGGTATTCAGTTTTAACTCCACTTGATTTCCAAATTATTTCATTTTCTAACGCATTCATTCAAAAACATTTTCTTGAATACCTACATTATCTCTGAACCATTCTAATGAAACTCAACTTCTTCCCATTTGTTCCTTCAATGTTAGCCTACAAGTTGGCTGTTTTTAGCCAGAGTTAGCCCCTTCTGCTCTCCAGCCACCTTAACTGCAGACTCATGGTTTTTCAAATTAACAACAGCTCTGGGACTAGGAAGAGCGAAAGAGTGCTTCCCACACTGAGTATCAAGACTTGTGACATCAAGACTTGAGGGAGACTGGAGTAAGACCCTGGTGAGAGTGAAACTCTGGTGATGGTGTTGCAGAGACTATAGCACTGCTGTGGAGAATCTATGGCAAGGTGACCTGAGGCTTCTTGCATTTATGCTGACCGCAATTTTGTTGTTCTTAACAGATGCTTGAAGGAGAAGCTACTTTAAAAATACTCAGAGGCAAACCTTTGCTGAATGAGGAACCAGAGACTTCTTGAATTTGTATTGCTGAACTAAATGGGACTTGGACTAATAAAGGAATTGTACCTTGGGACTACTGGACTAAACCCAGACTTATATTGTAAGATGTGCTTTGCCTTCCCCACTCTCCAACTTACTTCTCTAATAAATCCCATTCTCAGTACCACAAATGTGACTCTGTGAGTCAACAACAAATAAATTAACCTCCTGCTGT